TAAACGAACATTTTAAGACCAATATTATTCAAAATGGACCAGCCGTTCTCGAGGTTCTTTTTTTTATGTAATAGCTCGGCAAACGAGCATACGGATTACCTGGTGGTAAGCAATCAGCGCCGCCCATGGACACTCGCAACGGAGGAGTTACGAGTGCGTTGCCGACCTTTTAGGGATTTGGAGATTTAGGAATTGAGGAGGGATTGGGGAAGGGGAAGTATTGGGCCTCCGGTAACCTCACTCACACGGCGAAACACAACGCAGTGGTTATTTTACGCCGGTTTTCTGTGAGGCCGTGGTATCACTCCGGTCGAGCCGACCCATTCGTGCCGAAGCATGGCTCTCCCACACTTAAAGCGAGCTCAGCGAGACTAACGAATTGCAATTCATTTTTATATATAGGAAAATGTAATATTTAGTCTTACTCTTATACGCCAAAGACTTGATACACATTTTCATGACTTTTTGCGAATATTTCACGTTTGCAAATTATGACATAATTTTCAAAAACAATGTCGGCAAATTGTGTTACGAAGCTATTCGATCCAAATAAACAAACAATCAGATCTTTCCTCTCAATAATATTTGTGTAGAGAATGGAACATTTAAGAAAATAAATATTATTTTACAATAATATTATAAACATTTTTAAATAATAATAAGTCTTCAGACGTTTCAGATCGTTGATGACGAAGTGAGATTTTTTTAGTCTACTCTTTCATATCTTCCAGACTTCTCCCAGCACAGATGCTGGTTCTAATGATAGGATTCCTGATAGTAGTGGTGATACATGCGCGGCTGCTGGAAGTGATCTCACGGCTGGACTTCCTCTGGAAACTGCAAGCGAAGACCGACCTCGATGAAGTGAAATACACACAACGGTCTAACGAGAATTTGCTAAAATACGTCCTACCCGACCACGCAGTAAAGCATTTCCTTAGTAAAGATTGGCAACAAAATCCAGATGTAAGTTTAAATTTCGGGACTTGTTAATGTTCGTCTTTTAGATTAGTTAAAAACATTAAAAAAGTATCCTTTCTTTTCTAAATTTGATTAAAATATCGTGCCGTTAATATTAAATATCGATCTCACGCGTCCGGCTTTAGTTGAGGCCATAGTGTGGAGCGAGGGAACTGATAAGCCGTCTCCTCTTTCTACGAAGCAGTGTTGCTTGCAAAGAAGGAGACGGAGGGCGTGAGGAGGCTATCCTCCTCAACCGCTGCAGTAGACACCGGGCGTCGGGAATCGATCGACAATCTCCGGCCACCGTAATCGCGGGAATCGCAAACCGAGCCATTTGATGACATTCCCCTCAAAACGTTTATGTTTTTTGTTACCTAACTGATGGACTAAATCGAAATTTATTTTTCATACTCTGTCTTCATCCCTATTAATAAAACGCTCACTTTTAAGAGCGAGTCCCGTATTTTAAGAGCGAGCCTGGCTACAGCGTACATAAATTTTAATGCGAATTTTCTACTCTTTCTCTCTTTTCAGAAACTATACTCACACGTACACCCGGAGGTTGGTGTAATGTTCGCGAGCATTGCGAATTTCGACGAATTTTATTCGGACAAAAATGCCATCAAATGTATTCGGATACTCAACGAAATTATATGTATGTGTATATTATACAATTATAAAATCAAATATTTTTTTCATCTAACAAATATAAAGTTCCATAAAAGAGAGTATTCTCTTGATTGATTTTACAATAATTAAAAATACAATATGATTGAGAGATTTTCTGAAACTAGAATACCCGCTTGCTATTTCCAACGGATCATGACACATTACAACTTAACACAGAAAATACTACTAAATAAAAAAAATAACTAAAAAAAGTTATGATGTAAAAGAATAACATTATATTTTATTATCACTAATATATTATATTTTACAGTTGTTTTCGACAAGTTAAAACTACAAAATCGATACAAGTGCGTAGAAAAAATCAAGACTGTGGGCGCCATTTATATGGCGGCTTCGGGTCTTCAAATTGACTCAAAGGTAAAATATCTTTTAAATTTCTTCCTCGTCATTCAATAAGCATTTAGATAATTCTGCAAACAAATGCTCTAGTTAATAATTATATCAAGATTGTGATGCGTTTGGTGTTTTTTTTTTATGTGATACTAGCTTTTGCCCGCAACTCCATTCGCGTGGAATAGTGACTTCCTGCAGATTATTGGTATTAAAACTATCCTATGTCCTTTCTCGAGTTCCAAACTATTTATGAGTACTTATTTCACAAAAATCAGTTCAATAGTTTGGGCGTGAAGAAAAGACAGACAGACAGACAGACAGAGTTACTTTCGCATTTATAATATTAGTTTGGAAGACGGCAAACGAGCGTGCAGATTACCTTATCCTGGTGGTAAGCAATCAGCGCCGCCCATGGACACCCGTACCAACGGAGGAGCGTCGAGTGCGTTCCTGACCTTTTGGGGATTGGGGTTTGAGAGATTTAGGGATTGGTTAGTTTTTGATGAGGTTATTGAATTAGGATACTGAACGTTTGCCCGTTGTCCTTTTGTTACCTAAAAAAATTTCTATATTTTCTAGACTAAGACGAGAGAGAGATGATACTTTTTTATTTTTTCTGTTCGCTAGAAAGGAGAGAATCAAGGGCATGAACACTTGTATACTCTCGTGGACTTTGCTTTGGCGCTCAAGGAGACTGTCAAGAGCATCAGCTATTACGAATTCCGACTACGAATTGGTAAGTCCAAGATACTTAATATTTGTCATCTTTTGAAAATACGGTAACCATGGCTATATTAAAATTTGGAATTTGAGATTTACAATGAATATGTTTGTCGCAAACATTACTTATATCATTCAGTACTTATAGTATTCGGTGAAACGTAATCTTGAAATGTTGAATTTCTTATTATAAATTATACATTTTCATTCATTCATTCATTCATTCATTGTGCTACCTCAAACTTGGTCAAACAAATAATGCTTTCTTCTCAGAATAATAATCGTCAAGTTTATTTGAGTATTGACGTGAAAAACGATGGTAGTTACACAAATTTCATATATCAGAATAAATTAATATATCTCTATTACACCAATATATATTGCATTAGGTAACAATATTAAGTTTCTGATGGTAAGCAATCGGCGCCGCCTATGCACACCCGCAGCACCAAAGTAGACACGTGTATGTTGCCGGCATTTCAGGGTTTCAGATAATTAAGTAGTGTTGCCCAAATGCAAGAACAAGACGAGACTTAGCCAGTCTTGGTCTTGGTCTTGCGCCAATACACCTGGTCTTGGTCTTGGTCTTGGTTTTGCGCTCCCAGTCTTGGTCTTGGTCTTGCAGCAAGAGTCTTGCAAGTCTTGCAATTACCTATTAGTCTATTACTATTTATTAAAGTTTACTTTAAATCTTAGAAAAACGTTTTAGAATCGGAACATTGTGAGCTTGAATTAACATAGCCATAGTAAAGATCAAGCAGATTAATAAAAAACTGAAGATTTGATAAGAAATCCGAAATATGTCGTTTTCCATGGAAGTAACTGTTTCTTAATAAACATTTATGATTTATAAGCTTACATTTGCTAAAACATGTAAAAAAATAAATTAATTACAATAACTTGACTGTATTTTAAAGAACAATACTTATCTGTCTAGAAAGAGATTAAACCCTCAACTTACTTATAAATTTAATAAGAGTTTTATGATTTATCATTTAATTGAATAAAAAATAAAATACAACACAAATCAACAGCTTTATGATTAGGTTATGATACATTATATCAATTTTTTTGACCAAGAATTAATACAAAGTAACCATCTGGCTGACTCATCACTTAACCTATTTCTATGTTTTCTAATTACAAATGATGCTTTAGAAAATAACCTCTCAGCAGTTTCAAGTATATTTAAAAGTGGCTACAATATTAATTAAACGGGTGATATTTGAACACTTTTTTGCTATTTTTTCTTGTAAAAACTTAAGAAATATAATGACTAAATGTACAATACTAAGATACTAACCTTAGTAATTAGTTTAAACCATATAAGTAATCACTACTTACTAGAATGAATTAATATAACATCTACTACCTATCCTTAACATTTTATCCTAATCATAATACTACTTGCGTGATCAGTATAATGTATTCATTTTCATTCTAAACACTCTGAAACTTATTTATTCTTTGGAACACCTGTAGGTACCCTTAAAATTCGAAATTATTTTGCATGAGTATACCTACGCCCTATGGCGGCAATCAAATAGTGCCAAATGTTATGATTTCGGCGTGGCGGCAACGATTGTTTTAGATTTCAAAAGAAGCCGCCGCCGGCGCGTGTGTCATAACCATGTACTTCCGAAAAGCGGCAAATTTCTTTGAGAAGTAAGTACCTTTGATGCCGCATTATCAAAGTGCCGATGGTTAAAACATAACTATGCATGCACTCAGTTTGATTTTAATAGATATTTTTTTATTCGCTATGTTTATGGTATTACTCGTAATGCGCATAGGTCCAGTTTTTCATATTCTTTGATACAATTTTTTGCGTCTCATAGAATTCCTAAGCGTACCTACCTATACACCGAACTGTTACACCTAACTACTCAGTGAAATAGCGCTAAGTCCTAGCTGCAAGACGCAAGAGTCTTGCAGGCTATGTCTTGTTCTTGCTCAAGTCTTGCACGGTTAGTCTTGGTCTTGGTCTTGCTAAAAATACGCGGTCTTGTTCTTGGTCTTGGTCTTGCAAAAATGCAAGAACAAGACCAAGACTGCAAGACCAAGACTGAATTTGGGCAACACTATAATTAAGCATTGGGAAGGGACGGAGGGAGGCGTAGGGATTGGACCTCCAGTAACCGGACTGACACGGCGAAACACAACGCTGTGATTTGATTTCTGTGACGCCATAGTATCACTTCGGTTGAGCCGACCCTTTCGCGCTTGGCTCCCCGAAATTTTTAAAAGTAAATTAAATATAACAAAAATTGTCTTTGTCGTGTGATGCAGGTATCAGCTGTGGTCCTCTTGTAGGTGCGGTAATTGGTGCAACCAAGCCAGTTTACGATATTTGGGGCAACACAGTCAATGAGGCTTCTCGCATGGAGAGCACAGGGGAAATAGACAAGATACAAGTTACCAAAGACACCAAAGAGGTGAGGTTTTGAATAAAGACCTTGTGTTAATATGAACGAAAAAGGTTCTTGTATGGAGGCCACATATTGGCATTTGCCAATGCAGCGGAGAACATCTAACTATAAGGTGGACAGATAAAGGTTGCCAAACAAAAACATCGTCAGGGAAAGTAGGTATAGGAGGACTAATGGATGTGATGTTTAGGAAAACAATGTTATTGTTTCGAATTAAACTGTTGTCCTCATCCATAAACTGTTAGAAATTAACTCATAGTTTAGAATATGTATTAGATATATTATGACTAGTTCTTTAGCTTTTATATGATCAACAATACAAGAGTAAATAGTAGACTATGTGTGTATATCCCAGACTACAATATATTATCGCAATGCCGGATTTCATTTAGATCCGTTCAGTAGTTTTTGAGTGATAGAGTAATAAACATCCATCATCATCTTTCGACTGCTTTTGGTTGGCGCAGTGGCTGGGCATCTGGCTGCCGCGCAAAGCGTCGCGGGTACGATTCCCACACCGAACTACTTTTTGTGTGATCCACAAATGGTGGGTATGGAGCGTATGTGAAATCGTGTTTTTAAACGCACCCACGAAACAGGAGAAAACCCTACTAAGAGGCAACATTATTTAAAAAAAAGAAACCATACGTAGAAACTTCACATGTAGGTATAATATTAGTATCTACTATTTCCTTTAACAATAACAATAATAACAAAAACATCTAATTTCAAGATACTAAGCGGATACTACGTACTTGAGAGTTGCGGGATGAAATCAATAAAGGGCAAAGGGATGATGGAGACTTGGTACGTGGTGAAGAAGACAAGGGAGAAGTATGAAGATGAGATGAACGCACTGAACTGGGACCAGAAGCCGACTGCCCCACCTCGATCCCTCGCTGCTCTAGTTTACTCCATACTGCAGTCACGGAGACGCATCAATACCCATCCACTTGATGCATCTTCTATGCGTAAGTATAACTATTATCTACATACCTGTGCCTTTGCTTCTCTCTGTGCGTCTCAAGAATAAGAAAAAGAAGTTTTTATTTGTGTAGAATGTAGGTATTAGTTCTCAAACCTTAAATCCCCTATGTTTTAATCTTTACTAATGTTATAAAATCGAAAGTAACTCTGTCTGTCTATTCTTCATGCCTAAACTACTGAACCTTCTGTGAAAATTTTGATCCAGAAATAGTATGGAACTCGAGAAAGGACATAGGATAGTTTTGATACCAAAAATCTGCAAGAAATCACTATTCTACTTGAACGTAGTCGTGAGTAAAAGCTAGTCCCTAATAATCCACAAGATCCGGCAACGCACTTGTAGTAACTCCTTTGGTATTACGAGTATCCATGGGTGACGTTGATTGCTTACCATCAGGTAATACGTCTGCTCGTTTGCCGATTTATGAGATAAAAAAATACAATAAGATGTTAACCCGATGCCTTCGTTAATATATTGCCGAATTTGGACCTTTAGTCTGTTAGAAAATAAACCTTTAAAACAGACGGGGCTCTATAGGGCTGATGTTCAACCGGGGTTGGGGGGTAAGCGTAATGAGGCACCGCGGCCTCGGCCTAGAGCAGAAGGAACGGGTGGTTTTTTAGTCAGTAAGAGTCTGACACTCCCTCCTGCCCCACACTAGGCAGGAGAAGAGATTTGGTGGTTTTCCTCTGACGAAAAAAAAAAGCAGCTATGGTTTAAATTTAGTCACGTTATTGCGAAATCCAATTTAAGTAACCAGTCCGTATTTATTGTTATTAATGTATTAAGTTATTTATGTAAGTTTACCTGACTTCTTATAGACATACATATGAACAATGTATAATATTGTTATAAAATAACCAGTAACCATCTGTATTGTGTAATTTGACAGCTAAAAAGACCGAGGGTGTTCGCAAAATCCGCGCGGTGACAGCGCCAGTTAACTCAAACCAAATAAGCAACTTATGGCGGCCGAGACCAAGGAATGCAAAAACGTAAGATTGATATTTTAAAACACATATTGGCACCTTATGCGGCGACGTCAATCGGTTTCGCGCAACTAGTAAACGAAGCTAGTAAAGCTATTCTTAGTAACTTCACGCTAGTACCTAAGTCATTTGAAAATAATGACTTAGGTACTAGCGTGAAGTTACTAAGAATAGCTTTACTAGCTTCGTTTACTAGTTGCGCGAAACCGATTGACGTCGCCGCATCACGCAAGCTGATCGTGCAAAAAAGTCCTATTGTGACTCGGACTCGGAAAAAAGCTCGAAACTACTAGTTTCGAGCTTTTTTCAGTAAATATAAATGAGTCGTTAATTTTAACCCGTGATATAGAGCACAGATTTACGAGGCACAATGTCTATTCTGTTGTATATAAGTAAATGATGTCTCAATAATTTGGTAGATAAAAAATTGAACATAAGAATCTATTACTAAATAAAAGTCTAAAAGTGCAAAAAATATGCAAGAATATGATATTTCCGTAAGATGTTTTCCCATTGCACTACAATGTTACTACTCTTGCAGGTTCAGCAATGAACTGGAACTGGATGGTGGAACGTGTTTACGGAGACAGAAGCATCGACCTATGAACCCTCGAGTGTCCATCAGCTCTGCTGCCCCAACAAGCAGTTCCACCAACACGCTAGATGGAGATGCACAGTCCACAATTAAAACTCCCGTCGAAGGTACTGCTCGAAAAAATATCATACTTTCATTTCTTTTCTTCATTTCTTCACTTCTTCTTTCACCACGCTTGGTAAAAATATATTGATAATATCAGAGTTAATTAGAAATCACAGGTCCAGGATAATATCAGGGTTCCGAAAGATGGTTTTTTTCACCGTACGTCAGTGGTGTCTAAATAATCATAGAAAGTATATACAACTCAGAAAAGTTGATTTTTGCCATGTTTCGACCCGCGTCCTTTATGCATGAGAAGCGGACACCTTAACATCCAAGACCACATTTTCTTAATTAAATCAAATCTTAATAATTCTTCATATTCGAGCTAAAACTCAATCATTTAGAAATGTGTCATTTAGACTCACCGTCCACTATAATGACACGAAAAGAAGGTGTTACATTTTCAAGTATTCATGATCAAGTATCAATTACTTCTATATTGACAAAAATAGGAAATTCGGTAATTTTTACACAGGACACCGAGAGGATCCCGTTCCTGTTCAGAATAGCATATTGTGTACGTTAAGCTCACGTCCAACCAAAAAGCCAATAGACCACTACAGACGGAGCCCTATAGGTCTGATGTTCAGCCAGCTTTGCGGGGTAAGCGCAATGAGGCACCGCGACCTCGGCCCGGTTCTTAGTCAGTAAGAGTCTGACACTCTCTCTTGTCTTACCCTGGGCGGGAGAAGTCATTAAACGATTTTCCCCTAACAAAGGAGAAAAAAAATATAAGCTGACGTCCAACCCCTTTTCTTCTTCTGTCGTCCCACCAACTACTTCTAATACCTACATCTATGTATAATCGCTATTCGTATACAAAATGCACGGTTGGGTACGGTGCGGTAGTTGGACAATTGACTGCCACGCAACGTATCGCGGTTTCGATACTCTTTGTATGATCCACAAATTGTGATTTTGGGTCTAGGTGTGATATGTATACGAACAAACGAGAAAATTCTAATGCGGGGCCACTTTTCTTTTAATGCACAACCTTCTTTAGTGGCATGGTCTGGTTAGACATGTTAGCCAATGTAAACTAAAAATCCGCGTACGTCGTGACATAATACATGTACTTATTAAATTTTTGTTTGTTACAGAAGCAACGCGCCGAAGTTTCATAAAGCAATCTAGCTTCGACGGAACAGTTGGATCAGCGCGCATGCGGTCCATTACGAACGCCTTCCTCTTCAAGAACCGAGTGCATAATATTAAGAATGATAAAGTAAAATTGTGTATAGAAGAGAGTGGAGACTAAGATATCACTACATTGTATAAAACCAATGCTTTAAGTGTGGGAGAGCCATGCTTCGGCACGAATGGGTCGACTCGACCGGAGTGATACCACGGCCTCTCAGAAGACCGGCGTGAAACAACCACAGCGTTGTGTTTCGCCGTGTGAGTGAGGTTACCAGAGGCCCAATCCTTCCCCGCCCCTAATCCCTCCTCAATCCCTAAATCTCCAAAACCCTAATCCCTAAAATGTCGGAACGCACTCGTAACTCCTCCGTTACGGGTGTCCATGGGCGGCGCTGATTGCTTACCATCAGGTAATCCGTCTGCTCGTTTGCCGACCAATTACATAAAAAAAAAACTTTGAAATAAGTGCTTACATCTTTAAAACTACGCAACGGACTTTGTTACGGCTTTTTTAATAGATAGACTGATTGAAGAGGTATTTATGCATGATAACATCCACTAAATAGAGGAAAAATTAAGTGCATTGCACCCGTGCAAAGCCGGGCGAAATAATAATAATATTAAAGATTAAAACTAAAAATGTAACACTTTGAAGTCACGGAGAAGACGAAGGTTTGACCTATTGGCTGGGCGAATGGCTTCTATGAAGCAAATCAACGTACCCGAACGAAAAAAAATTGTGAATGAAAAGTTCATATCATTCTTTGTATCTTTGAATTTAGAATTTATGTTAATGCAGCGTGAAACAACCACAGCATTGTGTTTCACTGTGACCCAATCATTCCCTTACCCCAATCTCCAAATCTCCAAAACCCTAATCCCCGATACGTCTGCAACGCACTCGTAACTCCTGCGTTGTTGCGGTTGCTCATACGCACGTTTGCCGTCCTATCACATAAAAAAATGCACACATTATACAGAACAAAATCCACTTAAGGAAAACTATTCAAATAAGCAGTACATAGAATTAACTTGAGAAGAGTAATTTAGCACTTTAATTATATGTTGATCTCGCACTATTTTTTATACTTGATAAGTAAATTAAGTAAATAATAACTTTATTACAATTAAAGAGCGCTTTATCATTTTGTAAGTTATATTTTTGACAAATATACCTATATGTATAACACGCTGTATATAAAATTTATTCATTAATATTACCTAAATGTCTCTTTTTATATTATATTATTTATATTTGTAAGTGAAGTTTAATAAACAATCATAAGTACATACTTCTTGTTTTTCAATTTTGAACCTTAATAGAGTTACTGTTTGGTACATTGTCGTGCATTAGTAATATTATTTATTGTTAATAAATATCCGTCATGCAAATGACGTCACAAGACTCTATCATAATATAATTAACGTCAGTAGTTAGTATAACACCAAGCAAGAATGCTGTGAGTGTTATTTTATAGAAGTTTAGCAGCTAAGCCTGAAAAAAAAATCCTATTTTTAAAACCAAAACTTTCTCTGGATATTAGAATCATTGTTTACTATTAAATGTTATATAGAAGTGTTGTGAATTCGTAATAATATTATAAAAGTGAAAGTTTATAGGAATAGGTATGGATGCGTTAATATTTGTGTAATCTGTACGTAAAAACTACTGAGCGATTTTGAATGAAATTTGGCATAGAGATAGATTATAGTTTGTATTCCAAACTACACATAATACTTAGGCTACGTACTAAGTGGGCTGAGGAAATCCGTAGAGTAGCAATGGTTGGATGACCAGAGCTGAACATCGAGCTCAGTGGCGTGCTATTGGAGAGGCCTATGTCCAGTGGACCACGGAAACAGGCTGACGCTAATGATGATGATGAGGCTTCTTTCTACCCGGTACTGCAGACGAAGCCACTAGCAGAAGCTATAATAAAATATTCTCGAACTTACGATAACTAACGTAACGAGTTACCCTATATATTTAAATCCTAACCTAAAATTTTATTTGAATTCCGAATTCTTCCATTCCCGCCATTTCATGAAAGAGGTTTTAATTCCGCTGTATATTTGCTTATTAAGGTATGTTTTTTAATATATAATTTTAGACTGCTTAGCACAGTGGTCAGACATAAAGGTCATAGGGTGCGACTTGTAGCGGTTTCGATACCCACATACAAATTGTTGTTCTGCGTCAGGGTGTGATGTTTATATGAATTTTCATATTTGTAAACACACCCACGACAAGAAACACGAAGAAATCCTAGTGTGTAGCCACCGATGTGTACATGACATAAATGAGTCATCTATAAGTACTAATATTATAAAGAGGTAAAATTTGTAAGTTTGTATGTAGGGGGTAATCTCTGGAACCGCTGGTCGGATTGCCAAAATTCTTTCACTGATAGATAGCTACAATTTTCCTGAGTGCTATAGGCTATAAAACATTACGCTATGATCAAATGGAGCCGCCGGGAGCAGCGGGTGAAACCGCGCGAGACTAGCTTGTATGTAATATAAAGCTACTAGTCTAGTTTAGATTATCTAGATAGATCACTGTTAGAATTAGATATATAAAAAGTAATATGTATAATCATGCAATTAAGATGCGCCCTCATTTTTTGGGAGTCTGATGAAAATATAGTACAATTAGTGCTAAAAACAGTATGGAATTATTCAGAAAATCTTTGACGTTACATCATAAGTTTTATCCTTATACGTGCTTATTATTTGCATGTTTTATTGTAGAGAATAATAATTTTATTTTTGTTGCACTATTATAAGGTAAAAGTTACTACTCGTATTACGGTCTCATATAATAATCACATTTTTATTCGAATTTTCTTAATAGGAGCAATACATGTTATAAGTATATAGGTATATTTTTAATTTAGTTATTTTTTTTTATATTTTAGATACATTTGACTCTTGCTTTTTTAGTTTTAATAAAAGCACTACCTTAAATACAAATTATACGTCAGATTTAGTTTTCGTCCGTGGTTTTTTTATACCTATTTGTTTCAAACTAAAACTACTACTGCATCAATTGAAATTCAAATTCTTTTTTTCAATGCTTAGTTAAATAAACATTCATCCTCATGTCTGGACCACGCTACTGCAGAGGTTTATACTGCCCTGCAATTTCTAGAAAATTCGAGGTAAGTTTAGTATTTTTTTTTTTTAGTTTAAGACGAGAAAGAAACTGATTTAATTTTCCAATCACCATCCATCGCCACCATGGATCGAGACGACCCATTCATGCCAAAGCTTGGCTTTCCCACACTTAGCTTTCCTCTTCGCCACTTACTACTTGATTGATATACACAATATACACAGAACTCCTTTAACTACTTACATTTCTTCAAGCTGATTACATTAAAGCAACATGACTCAGATTTCCGTTCTGAGGTTCCTGACGTACAACTATCGCATCACGATAAAATCTGGCCATCGTTCGTGACGAGTAATAAGTTAAAATCAATTTAATCTCTTGTCAAGTCATCTGATTGGTTGACTGAATTATCAACTACCAATCAGATGACTTGACAAGAGATTTGACACCTAGTTAGTAGTTGGTTTTAACATTGCTCGGGCTTTCGGAAACCGGGCAGTAGTCATTTTTGCATCGAATATTCTACATTTATAGCAAGTCAACATCCTTCAAATATCCCACCACATGTTTCCCGTCACGAACGATGGCCAGTTTTTATCGTGATGCGACAGTTGCACATTATATTTCGTTATTCTAACGCTAACTGCAAAGTAGTAATTATTAAAATGAAACGATGATAATAAATAAAAAAATAATTCGCACAAAACTCTCCGTACACAAATTTTTGGAATTATATTCCCGTAACTAACATTATTAACAATATTAAATGTCCTTTTAGAGTGATGCAGTGGAACTGTCATACCAAAGATATTCCCGGACACAAAGGAAGAAATCCCTTATCGTGGTCAACCTCGTTGACTTAGCACTCAAAGTAAGTAGGTACAAATTTTATGACAAAGGATGGATCCCTTATATGTGTTTTTTTTTAAGACCAGCCTTTTAGCCACTGACTCTTTCCACCCTTGATGCCTTGGTGACGACAGAACAGCCGTCAGGGTTTTTGCTTAATAAAACCACACTATTTAAACTCTTGCTCCAAGGAGCGATAGATACCTATGTCATTTCGCTTGACTTGCGATAAGGCTCAATGTAAAAGGAAGGGTTTTCTGCCTTCTTTTTTTTTATTTTTTTTTTATATTTTTTTTTTTCAATTATACCACAGCAGGCACTTTTGAACGTCAAGCAAAAAAAAGAAAAAAACCTTTAATAAAGTTCCTATGTAGGCTACTGTTTTTGAAACAAAATATTTTATATTAAATAGGAAACACATTTAGCACATGAAGTATGTGTTAAGTGTAAAGTAAAGGATTGTAGATTTTGTGTTTAATTGAAAAAATAAAACAATTTTTGACTTACAGATTGGATTGGTGATTATTTATGCCGTAACAGACGACGATGGTAAGAAATCGATGGTTTAAAAATCTCATTTAAAATCTGAATTGCCTTTAAATTTCTATCTAACTACAATATAAAACGTAATACCTTTGCTCCCTAATGTACCTTAAAAGAAGATTTAATTATTAAAGAAGAAGAAGAGAGACTTGTCCAAAGGCTTAATATTCTACTGTTCTTCTTCTTCGTTCGTTACTTCCAGTCATTTAAAGTTTTTAAACAACGCTTTTATTTTTGGGACTTAAGTATACAGATCTTTTTGTGCGTTACCTCCTAAGCTCTAGATTGCAATTTTGATATTAAATAATATTTTTTTGCGATAACCGCAACACAACGTTGCAATATCACTAGTGTTTTATGTGTAAATGTAAATTTCAAGCTAAAAAAAAAAGTTTATTTTGACAGGATGGCCTCCGAGTACTGAACAAATCGTATGGACGATGACGTTCATGTTTTTGAACGTGTTCTTTTGTTTGTTGAGCTTGTGGCGCACTCTGGCTTATAACCACCTACACTGGGCTGCAGCCGCTACGTGGCTTCTGTTAATTATCCAAGGTACGGTCCCTTATATTATCCTATGTGTTCATCATGAAACTCTTTCAGTTGGACATCTCAGTGATGTGTGGAAACCTATTCTTCTTTGCCAAGATTGGTGAAAGCATAGGTACTTGAAATGA